AGAAGCAGTTAAATTCAAAAAGACGTCCAGCATTAGATGCACGTGGTGGATGGGTATGGGACTGGCTGGTTCCATTTTGTAATCAGCTGAGATACTTGCTAGGTATAATAAGTGAAGAAGACATGCTCGTTACTCGGCCGATACGAGCCATCATGCTCGACGCACAAAGTGAACTTTAGGGCCACGATACGCACGCTTCTCACACTAATCGCTTCGTTTTTCTCTACTGTAGTCACCAAAATGAGAGGTCGTGATTGCTCCTTGAGCTCGCCTGGTGATGCGCTACGATTTAGGTGCTCATTGATCATGATAAAGCAATAGAAGGAATAAGATGCTCCGGACAACTAATGGTTCAACAACATCATGTTCTCGTTCTTTCTTACGACAGAAGCATAACTTTTATACTTTTTTTTTTTTTTTTTTTTTTGGTAACGATTTTTCAATCGATAAGTCCTATGTGGGCGATACATTACGCCTTTTATGCAATTGTCATGAGGCAACTAAGGCAGTAGTGAAGTTGGACGACCCCTTCACCAATAACTGTCTCGAGCTGAATTTTACAGGTGGTCTATGTCTTTTATCGTATGCGTGTTTACGACGATAGTATGATAATAATAAAGTTGTGTTATACAGATAGATAGGTACCTCCGCCGAGGCATTGTGTTTGAAGATCGGCTAGAAATTTGAAGAACTAGGCGGGTGAGTTCAACCTCACGTATCGCAAATGCGCAACTGTGGAAGCCGACCATTTGCTTTATATATACAAATAAAATTTTCTGAAAACGCTTGCGAATTGACCGAGCCATTCTAATGACTTATCATGCAACAAGTTGGAACAGGGCGCAATGACGCGCTCATATCGGTCATTGACAACATTTCACGAGGCTTCCCATGGGCGTTCGCATCAGTCGGTGCGGTACTTCTAGCTGATTTCACTTTTCCACTACAACCTCAACTAACATAGCCTATGGCAGTATTATTTTTCGGATAGCAGCATCGAGGAGCCTACCGAAAGAAGTTACGGCACGGTCACTTCACACTGAATCATCACATTCATATAGAGGAGTTGTGAAGTATTCATTCAACCGACGTAAAGCGAGCACTTTTCGATAGGTGCGTACACTTCACCACCGTCCGTTGTTTACCGCCTGAAAGCTTTCACGCCCCAATGGTCCCACAAGAAAAGCTGGCTGGCTGGCTGGCTGGCTGAGTCGCCGAGGAAGCCAAGTTGAAGGGGCAAAAGCCGTAGGGCAATGTCATAGTCATTCTCCTGCTTATAAAACCTCTAGCGTCCCCCTAGGGAGACCTATAGGAGTTATAAAAAAAAACCGGTATGTCTTCAGGGGCCTATGTGCTAGTGATTAAATTATTTGTGGTTATATAGTGAACAGATTACTGTTCTGTTTAAGTTTTGTTTATAAGTTTAAGTTATGTAGATAACGACGTTCTAAAAGTTCGCGCTTTTATATCAATGGCTGTTCTAGTCCCATAATAGTAAATAAAAGGCAATTTACGATTTAGCTTACTTCACCACGTTAAATCTGACTTACAAATGGACGATAGATGAAACAAGAATGCATAAACACAGGGCCACAAAAATGGTTTAACTATAGATATTTGCTTCGAGCCGCAACCGCTAATTACCATAGATTAGGTTATATTAGAGAAACACGGATCTGTAACATAGCTAGCACGATTCAATAAGGCAGTGTTATCTTGTTCGAAATTAATTACCCCCCCACCCCTCTCTTCGTTCCCTCAACCTTTAAAATATTGAAGAAAAAGAAGATTTGAGAATGTTTGACGAACACTCAAACAGCTCTGAAAGGTAGCGATGTTTAGACTTGTCGCAATTAACGGTATTATTTACTCCATTGTAGAATACACATGCACTGTTGAAACGTTATTTGGGTCTACTTGTCAAAAGTTACTCAGATTTATCTGTTCGCTCAAAACTCAGCCAGCGTTACCGTCTGAACCGTCATGCTAGTTATTGCGGTAATAATAGATACAAAGCAAAATAAAGACTGTTCATCTACTTCGAGCAGGTGAAGCGTATACCATATATATGGAAAATGATGTCTATTACAGGAGCATAAACATATTTCAGCTTGGCTAAACGTATATATATAGACACATTGTCATATTTTGGTCTTCATCAAAAGGTGTTCACGTCACACGTAAAGTTGGGGCAATCCCATTCGACGCCACATCATCAGACTTCACCGTTCGACTTTTCTAGGGTAATGTTTTTCACTCGAATGATGATTAGCACTACTTCAATTGAATTTTATCTGCCTTCCGTACTTGACACTTAGCAACACGATGAAACTGGTCATCCACGAATCAGCTACAGAAGAGCGTCTGACAAATCTGTACCGTCGCGCCACGCTGACATCGATTTCAGAAGGCAACAACACAGACGTTTATTGGGCCGTACGGTAGACGACAAGTGATAGAGTATTTTTAGCTGTACAGACGCCACTTCACGTTACAGAACGGATATTCTAAAATGTCACATCGATAAGTTTGGATGTCTCAATCCGAATCTTCGTGTACAAAGCCTTCATCGTATTCGTCCGACATGCTTCACATGGCAGTGATGTGACAAATACAAGAGATAACAGATGTACTAAAATTGAAGTATGGGGGGTACCGGTTGTCGAGCAGTTTTGATAGCCACTGTGACGGACTGGGCAGGACGCCAGATTCGCAACCATAGAATCTTCAATTCGACCGAGTGACTTTGCAAATTATTTTAGTTTTTAGTTTCAACTTTTGTCGGATACTTACATTTGATCAGAACAAATATTACACGCTCCGTACTTATAATACTAAGTAACTGAAAAACGTCCGACGTGATATAAACACTATCGTCGCTCAGTGCGAAAGCGTCGGGGGTTCCATCAAAACACTGGCAGCTCATATTTCGGTTCAGTTTCACAGAAAAGAAGAATACGATCATGTGTGTACGGTCTTTTAGTCTAATTCGCTGTTCTGCATCTATCATGCATACGTCAACCGCTTATTGATTCATACTGAAATTTGATGTAAATAAAATAACAACCTAAAGCTGGATAAAAGCATAAATACAACTTTGTTTAAATTAATTCTATTTCTATTTCCGTGCGCCAGTTAAAATCGTGTAAAGCTCAACTTCCGACCACCTCGCACAAATGCGATGAACGACATTATGTAAGTAGTTATATCGTTTTTTTTTTTTTTGCTAAAACTTGCTTAAGACGTTTAAACCGGACCGAAAACAATCACACCACTTCGTGTTCTTCAAGCCTAAAAAACTTCCCGATTTCATGCAGACATACCGTTATAGCCGTTATGATCCGGCCGGCTTGCACTAAGAAACAACATGTATGCATCAGGTATAAAAGTGCCTGGTTGAAATCAGAATTAAATAGATGATAAAAGTAATTAAATATTCATTTACGGATACTTTTCAAATATTACTACGGGCAAAGTTTAAGCAAAAAAAACACAGGTTTCGATGGCAAAAGCGGGTGCGAGATGGCAAATCACACCAACTGAAGTTCCAGACTAACTTTCTGAGCTAATAGCCAATACATCCTGTTTCCCGCTAGTGTCGCTAGACAGTTGGCCCTCCTATAAGCCACTGCGGGCAGACATCGACACAAAGACCACAGCTATTCACACACTCTTCGTGTTCTTCGTTAAATAGTTACTGAAATGGCCTCTAAAGTTACGCGGCGGTCATACAGCCGCGACGAACCAAGTTATATATAGCGAAGCACCAACAATCTACTGGGGCGGGTCGCTTATAGATGGGCTCACTTGAAATCGGCTGATAAATGTCAAACAATTCCTTTCTTGTGTTGAGCGAATCAAAGAAACAACTACGGCTATTGGATTATGTCGCAATGCAGTTTGGAGTTTTTGCATACGACCGTTAAGATAAATTTATGTGAATATGATCGCCTGAAAATAGCGATAAAAGTTGAAAGACGTCGAAAAGTTTGGCCTCAGATTTACACGTGAAGTCCGTAACATCTGTGATTCCAGCGTGTGTTCTTACTGAAAGAGGCGGGTTTCTAGGTGTGAAGATCTTTGTAATGCCAGTTCGCTAGCAGCGGTACGGTAATAGAATGACGAGGAAAGAGTGGATCAGCATTACTCGTTGCTCTGCTCGTTCTGCGCTTTTAATATTTAACACCAGTGTACACAGCCTAGAGTAGAAAAAGTATGCCGAAAACATTAAGAAATCCTATTTAATGTAGGTAAACTCTTGTAGATCTAGTCAAAAATCAGCTGAATCGTAATAAGTATCATATTTTTGAAGATAAACAGTGTATACGTCGACGAGTTGAGATAAATTCATGCATATTTCATTTTAACGTGATTCATTGATATGTTTCTAACATGGCGGAATATCATAAGAACGTCCCTAAACATTTGCTTAAACGAACCATTTTGTTGATGCGAAAACATTGTAGGGGCTCTAACTGAACAATGTGCAAGTTTCAGACTGTGCACGGGCCGGGATTAGCTGCACACGTACAAAATTCGTTTGGCAAAGTCGAGATCGATGGGGTACATGCAGTGTGGTTGACAGTTAATGGTAATAAAGAGGCCGAGATAGCTATGACAGCAGAAATAAGGAGGTCAGCACAATGTTTCGATAGGGAATCGGGATCACGGTCATAGGGTAACTGCGGTGGAGCTGTTGGTGTATACAAACAATTACGTTACACTGGCTGTGCCAATAAATGATATCTCAACATCATTTATTAGGATATGCGTTGGTTCTCCGTGTGTTTCGTCAACATCGTAAACGAAATCTACCATATGAGTAAAAATAATAGAAATAAAGCTCATTGAGCATTAGTATAGCTTAGACAAGAGTTTACCCTAGAAACAGTTTGACATCGACTAAAACAGCAGGAGAGGAAAATGTGGCAAATCAAAAGTGGTAAGGTACAGCGTCTCCTCCTGTAACAGTGGTTAACCCTACCGGTTAGACAGCTTACCTGAATCTACAACCGAGATGGTGGTTATTATGGAGTACACAACGACGAGAATGCTAACTGAAATGAGAAACCCGTTTTGGTCTGAAGGCGACATTGTCCGTGACGGGGACAGAGTCCGAAGACGTTTCCGCGGCGGCACGACGGCCGCCGCCCGTATACTCTCCATTCTGACGTCTAATAGAGACTCCCCTCCCTCGCCCCGAGCTGCCTCTTCCGGCAGCGGTTTTGAGCACGTTATTGCTGAATTGTGCTGGCCTGTTGAACGCCACTCGAATTACTAACCTACAAACACATAAAAAAGATCGAAGTTATTAAAAGGGGCTTGCTGCCTAAACAATTACGTCCAGCTAGACATGGTTATGTGACTTCACTTCACCTCTGGGGGTAGGTAACGGCACAGACTCTGGCGAAACAAACATCTATTACATTACATGGAAGTTCTGCCTCCAATGCAAATGGTAATCGTTAAACAACTATGAATAAATCGTATACATCTATATAGTTGCGTTCAGTTCCTCTTTGTTTAACATAGATTATCGTTTTAACAGCACTTGATTAGTTGCTAATTCATCTAAAAATTGTCTGTGACGGAATATAAAAAAATTGTAGTCTACGCAGGAGGATCGGACAGATAAATTTTGCGGAAGAGCTCTCAATAGAGAAGCCTTTATTTGGTTTTGTCTTGCTAGCTTTTTCCGCTACACCGCATACATTCAGGTAAGCAATCTGTGGTGATCAGAAATGCCTGCTGCGCTAGGAAGCCTGCGCAGTGACCTTAGACACCAAAGCCAAGTCTAGAAAAACCAAAAAGTATTAGGATAATTTCATAATTCCTTTTACCCACTGTAAACACCGCCAGTGCAAAAGAATGACTTTACAGTATCCAAAAGCAGTGACACCGTTCGTTTTAAAGTATCATTGGTTGAAGACTTCCGTCTCCTCTTGCACGTTCAGAGTCAAATAGACTCAGTAACAAGATAGTCGTTTAAACTTTAGAAGTGACCTGTTTCTTTGAGTGAAACTGATCAGTTCGGACCGCAAAGACGAACCTGATAGGACACGTACATTTGCTTTTATGCCTGAAAGTGCGAAACACCGACCGGTGCGCGGCTAGTGATCTAGGCGAGCCTTGTAGAAGCAAACTATAAGCAGGTGAGGAAGGTCTAACACGAACAGGCCGATTCATATATTTCTCACGAATCGTCGTCAATGTCATTCAATCATTTCCTGGCATCTTCTGTTATTTCATCCTCTTTATCATGACATACGCGTAATAGTAAACGACGACCAAATACGCTGCTTGGTAATAGATATGCCTGATTAATCTAGGGATTCACTTGATTGAATTTTTTGTTCAGTACCAGTTATTGACTTTTACGCAGTAACCGTTCATTCACACCAAGGATAACGGTTCTATTGTAGAACAGCATTGTACAGTATTGCAAAGTCTTAAAAAAGGTGCTAAATTCTACATACATTGACAAGGCGCAGGCAAACGTAACGTTCAAAGCATTAGTTGATACATAATTACTTGGGTATATTTCTAGTAACTGTAAAGGCTACGTATTATCTGGCGTTTAAGAACACTCATTGCATAACATATAACCGAAATTTTACGTAGACACCTCCTTAAGCATGTTTGATGTTCGTTTTAAGCCAGCCATGTCAAACTACCTTAGCTAACTAAACATACAATTGCGCTTCTTATGTATCAGGCTTTATCACAAGCGAATTTGGCCAACTTTTTTGAATTAGGCTCGCCTAGCAGACGAAAAGCGCCAGTTTTCTAAAGATTCACAAAACGGAAACTGGTTAAGTTTACGTGCCATTGTTGTAGTGCCATATTGGGCCGTAAAAGTAATAGCAAATTCTACACCTCCTGATTCACTTCTAGCTTTATCAGAGGGCGTTCGATTAGTTTCTACTAATGGAATAACAAATCAAATAAAGAAAATCGTTCGTTTAAAATTTCACTGAATAGTGTCTAGGTTAGAAGGATTGATATCGTTCCTTAATAGTGAAATACTTATTAAAGTAAAGAATAAACCGTCGCAAATTACTTTATCAATATGAGCTATTCAAAATACTATAATACCCTAGATCTTGTGAACAACAACTCTGATCATAAAGATAATTAGTATTTTTTAATTGTCCCAATTATAATGAAATAATTAAACGTATAAATATATTTCTATACTGTATATAAATTTTCTTTCAACTACTCGTTCTTTGAAAGCCACAACGCTACACAGAAGGTAATCGAAACTAAGTGACTGTATTAGACGAAGAGGCCCTAGGCGAACACACAATACATGAATAGTACAAACATTTCAAAAAGCAAGACTGGAGTATTAAAGACCAGCGAGAATGTAACCAAATGTCGGGCCCGAACGACAAAAACGCCTTACCGCAATCGAGGATGCTTTTCATGAAACGAAGCTTGGCTTCGTTTCCAAAAGCTGTGTCGGCACAAACTGGCATTTTATATGTGACTTATTACAGATTTATAATCCAAACACTGAAAGCATGGAAACTGAGTAGAAAATGGGCCCCCGCGTATGGGCCACGTCGAAGTGCGTGTAGTATGATTTCTCTAGCAATTTGAGGAATTTTAGTCAGCAAAACACCCGCCTGGAGCATAAGGTTGTTATAAACGAGGCACGGTTAAATCTCTATTGCCAACGGGAAAGGGACCAAATGAGGGAATGGCGATGCCCTTGAGAGAAATCGAATTCGGTGGCGGTGTCGAGTATGTTCGGAGATAAGGTGATAATAGTACATGTGATCGATATCGAGGGCATCTTCTACTTTGGTATACTCGCAGAAAATGTAACAATAAATGTAGCCCGCTATCTCGAGATCCTCAAGAGATTCACAGAGCAATTCGTAAGGCAATCGAAAGTACACAGTCTGGTTATTCAACGACAACGCTAGTCTTCATTGCCATACCTTAATCACTTTTTGGATTGAGCAAAGGAATATCTAACGTTGGCTTCTACGCCTTTATTATTCCAATCATAGTTGGTGTGATTACGGGACTTCCCAAGGCCCAGCAGTAAAAAGTGGCAGACAAGCATATTCCACTACTAATTTTTTCCGAAAGGTCACAAGATGAGAAAACCTAACCTCGAGATTTTTTCTGTCTCGCAACATAAGAAAAGGCCATTGATATAGACGTGAATTTGATCACATTTGCGGACGTGTTTATGGTCTTCGGGTATACGTGCAAGCTTATTGCATTCCGCTGAATAGTACCACTAAGCTACATGGGCGGAACGTTCAGAAAAGACAAATCCGTACACGCATTGATAGATTCAGCTCCCCGCTTGGGCGGCGTACCATTGTGCCAATGGTTTTCGGGGTTGTGAGAACGCAGTTTAGAGCATCGTGGCAATGCCATAACATCGAACAAAGACGTTTAAAATGCGGATCAGTAACCTAGCTGGCTAAACAATGCAAGCCTTATTTAACAAGCTGGAAGGGTTCAGTTAATGGTAATTGAAATGTCAGTGGTGGCGATCGTAGAGGGGTCAGTAAAGGTATAAAGCACCGGTTAGATATGGGCGAATGTAGACATAACGAACAGATACGTTTTTTGAAAAGCTTCATGTAATTATAGCGGTGGCAATTTTGAGGGCAAATAACAATGCGGTATCAGTACTTGGGTTGAGGTTTACTAACTCATTTTACTTAGTGTGCGGTGAGAGGTACGCACGTTTATCAGTAATTTTCTGTGTGTTAAGATCATTTGTTGATTACAAAATCTTTTTTGCCTGCGTTTTTGCGATCGCTCACGTTAGTTGTGAAAACCGTAAGCGTTTGACTAATAAGAAAAGGTAGGGCGATCTTGTTCTTGTCGTGCTAATCTACCAAGGTACTTCACTCAAAAATTAACATAATCCGCATGCCCTATTAGGCTGAATAAGTTATTTGTCAAGATGAAATCCGATTTGTTTAATTATTGTTTTGGCAATCTACGTAATGGGTCGAGGTTGCAGCTTAAATTTGCCCGGCCATCGCATGTAATGAATATTATAGGCGGGGCAAAAATTAGCGCATTGCTTTTTAAGACGTAATCATTTCCTCACCATTTCTTCTGATTCTAGTTGAATGGTTTTTTTCATGATGGCTCAGCACTTTCCAGCTAGGTCAACCCAATAGAAAATTATACAGAGACGGAGCATTAACGAATGTAACCGTACGAACACGGATTATATATATAAAAACCTAAAAAAAATCGTCGACTTTGAACAAAATCTGCATCTTTCACCCATAATTAGCTGTAACAATCCAAACATATTAAGTACGCTCTACTAGCAAGAGAATGTTTTCTTCTTAATTTGCAAATCGCCGAGTAGTAATCACAATGGTGCCGAAAAAGTAGCTAAAATGCTTTTGCTACGACTTCTGCCAAAGTCGATAGAGTTTCCAGTATTCTCGCAATCGTTGTTAACGCGTCCATCGTTGTCGTCGTGATTTTGATTGCTGCTGTTATCGCTTCTGTCGTTGTATCGCAGATGGCGCGGCTGGCCGGATCCATCAGTTGGGTTCGTCCGTCCTACGTACTGATTTTCGTTTTTTTCTGACTTCTTCGTGTGTTTTGCTTTCCCTCGTTGCGGTAGCCGAACGGCGACGAGATCCTCGTGGTCGCTGTTGATGCCGCCGAAGCTGTTGTAATGGCGGTTCGGGGTTTGGTGCTGGCCATGGGGTCGTTGGTAAATTGAACGATGCCTTGTTGCTTTGTTGATTAGTTGGTAAATTGGTAATGTCTTCTTACCTAACAAAACCGTTGCCGCCTCCGAAAAGGCACACGGGCAAAATCGTCTTCGTTCTTTTCGTTGATCCGCACGATTATCGTCGTCGTCGTCTCCGTCTTCTTTGTATGCCTCCTCCTCGTTGTCGCGTTCGGCCGTCGGATCTCCTTCAACGGCTGTGGCCGTTTGCCTGATGCATCTGGCTTGCGCTCGATAGACATCGTGCCAAGGGAAAGTGATTTCAAACCAGCGTAACAGCAACGATAATGAAACTCTTTTTTGTGTGAGGAAACGCAGACATGAGTTTATATGTTTATATATATATGCACCCGCATATGGTTGTGCGCATGGTCGTGCGCGTGTATTAAAATGTGTTTGTTCACCTCTATATGTACGTGTGCGCGCTTCTATTCTGCCCGTACGGTATGTATGACCTCAGGATTTCTGTCTACATACAAATATGCTTACGAGCAGAATGCAGGAATAAGCAAGGCCGTTTGCCCTTTGCTAGCAGCAAGAACAGTCTGC